AGCCTTTCAGCTTTGGTCCGTGGTTCCTACTCAGCGAAAGTGAGATGCAGTTTGCGTGAGCGACGCGATGTCAAATAATCATTCTTCAGATTTTGATTTAAAGCTTTCGTGACTGCAGGGATTCATATTCTTGGTTCTTTCGGTAAAGTCACATATAAGGGAAACAATAAAGGGAAACAATGTTTTATATATTTTTTTATTTTATTGTTTCCCTTCTATGTGACTTTACCGAAAGAACCAATAACACTCTTAAGATGTTTTTTTTTAATGAGATGAGATCGAAATTGAGTGGGGGAAAAACCGTTTACATTTCATACTGATCGTATGACTCCAGTCGTAAGCAGACTTGGTAATCATGCCATTCTCACAGCACGAAAAAGGCGACGCAAATATTGGCGATGTTTATGCCCGTGTAAGCATTTTCACAGCGTGTCTGAGTCCACTGCGGAACTTGGATGACATTAACACATTGCCGCCGTTGAGAGCATTTCTTGAGTTCAACTTTAAGATAAATTGTTGACATTGTTAAACTGTAATGTAGCGGGTACACTTCTCCTGGTCGTCTTGCGTCCACGTGTTTTGGTATGAGGTGTGGGTGATACTCTACATCAGCGGTCCACAACATTTTTGGCACCAGGGGCCGGTTTCGTGGAAGACAAGTTTTTCACGGACCGGGGGGAGAGGGGGTCATCATTGGGTCTTTCATCCTTTTCAAAGAAGCTCTCTGCGACGTTTGTATTTTACTCATTGTGGCTATGGGTTGGAGCTTGTGGACTTAACAACACTGTGACATTGAGACGAGTCCGCAGTGCGGGAAAGAGGCGCGGACGTAAGTGGTGAATAATAAAACAATGGGGACGGGCCACGCGCGGACTCACCGCTCTCGCCTCGTGCTGCTGTGCCGCCCGGTTCCTAACAGGACACGGTCACCGGTAGCGGTCCATTGCCCGGGGGTTGGGGACCCCTGCTCTAATAGGATGGTCTAGAACAGGGGTCGGCAACCAAAATAACAAGAAGAGCCATTTCTTTCCAATTCGGTACAAAATTCAGTATTTGAAGAGCCGCAATGCATCTGAGTACATACTGTACATACGTACATATCGTCAAGAAGCAGCCCGTAAAGAGCCACATGCGGCTCCGGAGCCGTAGGTTGCCGACCCCTGGTCTAGAAGATGTCCCGTGAGCCCCGAGTAACTGACCCCGAGCACCCAAAACAAAAAAACGCACGACGTTTCGATCGCAACACAAGCGGTCTTGTGTTGCGATCGAAACATCGTGGTTTTTTTAGCTTTTATTATTTTCAATGTATTTTAATTACATTTTTATTTTCTATCTACGTGACTTTAACGACAGAAAAAAGAATATGAATTCCTGCAGTCACGAAAGTTTTAAGTCATTATATATACACACCCACGATTCCTAATATGAGTGACAAAGCGAAACCCTGCCCCCCCCCCCGCCACCTTATATTATAAGTCAAAGTCCGCCCATGGGGGGACGGGGGGGGGGGTATTGACCATACTTCACCACCCCTCAAAGCGCTTGTATTGTACCGTACTAACGAACACATTCTATCTCCGTGCAACAATTCTTACAGTCGGTTGTACTGATAACGAAATAAAATGCTGTCACCCCACTGTAATTTGGCTTGAGCCTGCGACGAATGTTTACAAAAAACTTTTGTAAATATTTAATTTGCTGTCACGACCCAGGCAGCTGTACTTTATTGAGGCGTCATGAAGATAACGAAATACTAATAAATTCGCGAATAAATACGCAACACAAGACGCTGTACAGGCATGTAATGTGGCCTCGAATTTAGGGCTCAAGAATGGGACAAATGGTAAAGACGCATCTGTTTAGTTTTACTCCAACGAACACTTCAAAATGTTTAGTTTAGTTTCACATCCAAGCTAAAATCAACAATCCAATTCCAGGCTTCTTTCTGAATGCCCTCGTTGCTACGTAGATATTAATGGTTGCCTCATGTTTACACCATTACGAAAACCTGACGAAAATAACCATAAACATTTGAATGCTCAATTGCAAATTCAAACATGGAAAGGGTTGGGGGTAAAGTCACAGGCCTTGAAATTGGCTTTGCTCATGACACTGCGAGCTAAAGGAGATCAAGTCCAGAGATCTTTCAGTTTCATCTAATTTCAGTTTCATTAATTAGGTGTAGCCCTGTGAGCCATTCGACTCTTGAATCGGGTGCAACCGCAACAAACAAAAATATGAGCAAAGAAACATCTTAAAGTGACGACGCGCAAACAGAAACATCCAGGAAAAAACAGCAAAGTGTTCCAGAAAAAAGCACCGCATATCAAGGCCGTCATGATCATATATATTCAAATATGCTCAAAATGTCCACCCCAATATATTGCTATGAAATAGATTTCTGTTTATATGATTGTGGTTATGGTTGTACTTTACACTATTAGACATTATTGTAAAACATAAATAAAAAGTCCATCCTATGTGGTAGTGAATGTTTTAATATTTTAGGCAGGAAATTAGTTTTTAAATTTAGATTTTTTTTCTGGGGGGGGACCCCCAAGACCCCCTGGAAGATTTGGTCCCCCCCAATGTTGACTGCATGGCTACGGCCTTGCCGTATATCAACGCTGCGTGCAAAAATCCTAGTGGGATGCAAGCCAAACAATAACAACCACAAGACAATTTAGATTAAAGTTATCAGTCTAACTCTGTACTAGAACAAACAAATATGGCTCAACCAAAACGTTTTCGAAATCACCAAAATAAAGCTATAAAAGCAACGTAACAGTGATCTTCGCCCCCCGCCCACCCACCGCGCCCTACAACCAAACCCCCTGTTCTAGACGGTATTTGGCCTGCTCTTCCACGCTGGTAACAAACATCTTGGTGGAAGACGCGGACGTAGTCACGCTTCACCCCACCACACGCGAACTGTCGAGTACCCTTCGGTAAAGTCACGTAGAAGGGAAATAATAAAATAATAAAAATAAAACATAATAAAATAATTCGTGAGAATTATTCGTGATAATTATTTTATTATGTTTTATTTTTATTATTTTATTATTTCCCTTCTACGTGACTTTACCGAAAGAACCAAAAAGATGAATCCCTGCAGTCACGAAAGCTTTAAATCGAAATTTGTCGCGTACCCCATTTACACAATGCTGGGTGGACAGCCGTGGTGGCATTTGGATAAACTTTGCACCATTGTTTGACTTTAACGCAGAGCAGCATCGTTGGTATTTGCTGCGATGCAGTGGCAATACAGTAGTAGCCTCGCTACGTGACTGGGCACGCTACAACGTCGAGTAATCCAACACGCGTGCGTGCAAACTCCAGCGGACTGAGCTTTAACCTTCCACAGCAATTGGCGTCAAACATCCGCTCACATTGGCTTGGTGGTTCATTTAGACTTTAGAGCGTGGCGTTCATGGCGAGGCGATCACCAACAAACTCATAATATTCATAATATAGGTTTTTTGGGACAGATCGATGAAGCTGATTGTAATTACCAGCGAAACGTCGCACTACTCAAATTTTAAAATGCTGTTGATTCTCTCTTCAACACACCGGTGGGCTAAAGAAGTGAATTATTTTGTCCTTTGAAAAACGTGACACATTTTTGTTACTGTTTGGCCGTGTCGGGTGGTGGAGGGTTACGACACATTTATAAATAACGCGATCTGACCCAAAAACTTATATTACGAATAATATTGGTCGCGAAAGCCTACGTGTTCAACTCACCAACAAACTCACAAGCGAACGAATTAAACACAATCTACAACACACTATATATTGAACAATGATTCTGAACTAAAGTTTACTGTGACTTTGAAGTGGCTTTATTGGGAGGGGTGGACCACATCTGAGCGACACCACGTTTCGCCGATAGCAGCGTTCTTCATCGCAAGAACTGCGGCCTACTGGAGGTCCCTGGTGGCCTTTCGTGCGGCCCCCGACAATACACAAATTTGAAAACACACCTCCATCATCATCATCATCGCCGTGCTGCTGTCAAACCCTGCAATGGCTTCAAATTGTGTGGAGGCCACTTACTCACACTCAGAGCCGGCCCAGCCACTAAGCGACCCTTGCAATTGCAAAGGGCCCCGTGGCCAGCAGAGGGCCCCCTAGAGTCACTGCTAGCTAGTGGGTGAAAAAAAATCATACATCAAAGGGGCCTCCAACCAAATTTTGCTTAGGGCCCCCAAAGGTCTAGGGCCGGTTCTGCTCACACTGATGATGTCTTATCGGCGAAAGTGGCACGAACCCCTCCCCCCTTTGGAGATTAGCGAACACTGATCTATATCGACCCTGCTTAATGAGCCTCAGTCAAATACAAGCCAGGGACTCCCTCCCTAGCCCCCACTCCGTTCCTGCCCCCCACCCACTGGGCCCTCACCCCTCACCAGGGCTTCCTCACCACCCTCACCACCCCCCGTCCCCGACAACCACCCCTTCCCCTAAGTCAGCAACCCGGCGTTTTGTTTTCCACTCAGCGTTGAAACCCAACCACTCACGCCGGCTGCGAAGCCTTTCACTCGGCAAAGGCTGGTGGGGGGGGGGGGAACGAGTCGATGCCGCTCACGTGCACGTGACTTTGTAACGCAGCGAAGTGAAAGTTACCATGATAGAAAGGGCCCTGCTGTTTGCCCTCAGTCGCAAGTTTGTGAATCATGGCATGTGTTGTTGCTAATATATAAATGTCACCCTTACGAATTATTGTTTTGAGCGCGGTTGCTTCAGCTAAGAAAACTTTTTTGGGAGGGGATTTTTGTTTTAATCACCGTCTAACATTCGTAATCATTACGAGGCGCTGCCATGATTTACTTCTTGCAGCAATTCGTGTGTGACGAAGAGTTACGCAAAAAGGCAGTGGCTTTTGGTGGAGCCACTCTGGATTAGAGAGGGCCGAGAGAAGGGGGAGGAGGGAGAGAGAGAGAGAGGGGGGGAGAGACGGTTGCCAAAACAATGATCTGTGGAGCAGAGGCAAGATATATATTTAAAACCAGACCATGTGCTTTGCCAGTGCTGGCAGGGAAACAGCAAAGACTGACTGCTCTGCTTGCTGTTGTGTGCCGGCCTCTCCCGCCTGTAAACTTAACTCAATTGAATCGGATGATTGTTGCAACTGCTGTTGCTGCTAGCAGATAAATGCAGTAACCGTCACAGTTTGTTGAAAGCTAATTTTGTAACGTAGCAAAATCTCGCTAAGTTCGCGAGCTGAGGAAAAGAATAAGGCATACGTATCCGTTGCTGTTGTTGTTAACTTCAAGAAGTACACCTAGACACAGCCGCGTTCATTTATTAAGCTCGTTGAAGCAGCGTTCGAACAACGCATTTGATATTCCACGTGAATAACGAGGAGGACAGTTGGGACAAGAGGATGAGGTGCCTGCTTCTATCGCTGGTGCTGCTGCCACAGCTGCTGCTGCTGCTGCTCGTTGTTGTTGTGCCAGCCGCCACCTCGTCGCAGGAGGAGAAGCCCCGGGCGGCGAGGGAGGTGTCGGAGGATGAGAAATCGAAGTCCGGGGTGGCGGTGGACGTCGCGGTAAATGGCGACGAGCACGTGGTGGTGGTGAAAGAGTCGGGGAAGCGCGTTGCCATCACCTCGCGCTTCTGCGGTGACGACTCGTGCTACGTCCTCCACCAGTCGCACGACTCGACGATGAGCCTGGAGGAGGCGCAAGACTTCTGCGCGCTCGTGAGCGGCGGGCCGGCCTACTTGGCCACCGTGCTCGACCAGGTCGACGCCGATATGCTCGCGAGGGCGATCGTCGCCTCGGCCTCGTTGTCCATCGACGGGGAGCTGTGGCTCGGCTTGCGGCGGGGACGCGAGGGATGCGCGAACCCCGAGGGACCTCTGCGCGGATTCGCGTGGCAAGGGGCTGGGGCGTCGGAGCCGTCGTCCGCTGTCACCTACTCGGGGTGGCGCGGGGAGGCGCAGGAGCGGTGGGACTGCGGCCGTGAGCAGTGCGTCAGCCTGGCGTTGGTCAACGCGAGTGAAGGCGGCTCCGAGTGGAGGCAGAGGTACGATTTGATGGATGTTGGGATGGTGGTGGGGGCGTTGTCGTTGTTGTCACTGCACCAGGCTGTTTAATTGCAAACTAAAACGGAGGATGAGCTGAACTCTGCGCTGCGTCTCCTAGTGGGGCGGTTGTGGACAAAGAGCTTCTTAGATCTTCGGATTCCTCCAGTGTCTTGTTCTCCACGTATACAACAATGCTGTGCGTCAGTCCATCGGCCGGTGGATTGGCTTTTCCAGACTGATATGATCAAGCAGCAGATGTGTAAACCAAGTACAGTTCTAGATTTGAAGCTTTTGTGACTGCAAGGATTCATACGCTTAGTTCTTTCGGTAAAGTCACGTAGGTAAAAAAATGAAATTAAAAAGAATTTCATTTTTTGTGATTTTATTGTTTTATTTTAATTAATTTTAATTTCATTTTTTTTACCTACGTGACTTCACAGCTCAACAGCGGGTTTTGACATGCAAGGTCTCAATCAGCAGAGTCAGTTCAACAAGCGCTGATGAGTTGCCAGATGTTAATGGCCAGAGCACCCCATCCAAACTTTGGTAGACGACACGTTCCAAGTAAATATACATATTTTAGTCTACGAACTCAATGTGGAGCACTATCGGGTAAACGAATCAAAATTAACAACTCTGTTTAAGACGTAACAGGCTTTAGAGACGAATGTTATTCATAATAGAGGTTTTTTTGTTGTTGTTAGATCACGTAAATATTAACGCGTCGTTAAACACAACTCTGTCTGGCGCCTGATGAGACTGGTTGTAATTACCGGCTAAGCGTCGTACTCGAAATGTAAATGTTGTGGGTTTACTCTCCAACACACAACCGGTGTGCTGAACTAGTAACTAATTGGCACATTTTGTTTACGTGACAAACTTTACTAATTGGCTGTGTTGGGTGGTGGGGGGTTGAACGACACATTTATATTTACGCGATCTACTAAAACAAAACCTTTATTATGGATAAATAACTCTGTTCTGTGTCTCCACGTGAAACAATATATGTAATACATGTATACGGTACTTATGGTTAGTACGCCTTTTGAGCTTTTCATACCAAATGGTTCAATAGAAATTGTTTTAGCTATCAAACTGGCGCCGTTAAAACTCTGCACTGAAATTATGAAACTTGCCAGGTGTGCGAGATATAGTATCTAGCAGACCTTCCTGAGTCTTTACAAATCTCACCAATAGACAATTGTCGAGTACGTTTAACTATGTTGTTACTGCACACGAAGAACTGCTACAGGATTCCAGAATGCAAAGCTGGAATGGGTCCTAAACAACGCGTAAATTCGGTAAAGAACTCCGTATGCATGAACGCACAATTACCAGTAGCGTGACGAGCGTGGGGGGCAGGCAGTGAGTGTCTTGCCCCCCCCCGTGGCCAAAGCTACGAGTCTGGGAAGGGTGGGGGCCTTCACAACCACCGTGAGATTTTGAATTTCAACAATCAGTGTGTTAACGACCAAATAACACCTATTTTAAAACGTGGTTTAAATAACATTTTTTGTTAATGCCAATGCTTTCATTTACATTCCTCCGTTACATTTGAATTTAATGCGAGCGGTCACGTAATATTGCAAAGAGGTAGCTACTACTACAACTACGGAGCTATAGTGGCTGCATTTTAACGAAGACGGGAGCAAGCGCCCCTACAGCGTTAAATGTTGGAGACTGTGAGCGTAACGACGATGTGAGTTAGGGGCAAGGGGAGGCCGCGATATAAAGATAAGCCTCCTGGTGTGACCGTCCGAAGAGACACATCAATTCTTGGGGGGCTCCACCACCACCTATTGCCGCTACGCCCTGAGCTGATATGAATGTCATCACGACGCCACCGACAAATCACCACATGCAGTCCAGTCACGTGCGGTGAGGTCAATGGCTGGGGAGGCACTGGCCAGTGTCAGAGCCAGATTCACACACTGAGGGGGCGTGGTCTCACGGAGGGGCGTGGCCTCACTGAGGGGGCGTGTTAGACACGTCACCCTCAGTGAGGCAGATGTGATAGCTGCCTCCCCTGGTGCTTATTCATTGCAGTTTCATGACGAGACCAGCGAGCCTAAATATCTTTATACACATACGTGAAGTAAGTTAACTGGAGTATGGAAGGCGAGGACATGAAATGAAGGGGTCTACAAACATTACATTGGTGACATACTGAGATAGTAACAGGCACGTGCTTATTGCCCGCTCTACATCCAGTTACTGAGGGGTTGCGCAATCAGAGGGGAGGCTGAGCGCGTCGCTGCCTCACCTCTCGTCTCTTCCTGTATTTGCAGCGGAGCTCTGCAAATTTGGCGATTTTGACTATAAAAATGATTGTAATCGTACATAAATGACATTTATCACACAGATCAGTGGAAAAATCTTAATATTTATTTATTTTATTATTCTTTTATTTTTCCCTTTTCGTAACGGCTATTTTCATTGGACTACGGCAGGTGAGGCTCTGCCTCCCCTGCCTCCCCTGCCTCCCCTGACCGCACGTCCCTGACGTAGTCCTCTTCCCCAGTCAACTGCGGGGAAACTCAAGCACCTTGACCGGTTTCTTCATTCGGACCCACGGTGCGAGGGGCCAGGTCCGTTTTGCCTCGTCACTGACAGTCATCGTCGGACCAAAAAGAACGTAATCTATATTCTTAGGTTTTTTCGGTAAAGTCACGTAGGTAAAAACATTAAAATTAAAATAAAACAAAATTAAAATCACGACGTTTCGGAGGCAACACAAGCTTCCGTCTTCAGGTGGAACCGTCACAACCACGACAGCTGTATCAAGTAAATGAGAGATTGCAGGAGCTACCACTCCGTTTATATAATGGTTGGAGAAGGGGGGGGGGGGGTAAGGGCCAAGTAATATGGTAAGGTGAGGCTTAAGAGGGTGAGCCTTTGTTATGGAGAGGTACGGTTTGTGACTATTTTATTTTGTTTTATTTTAATTTTAATGTTTTTACCTACGTGACTTTACCGAAAAAAACCTAAGAATATGAATCCTTGCAGTCACGAAAGCTTCAAATCTAGAATTAGAACGTAATCTAGTTGTATATGGTGTAGACGATGTAGCCTGCGGAACGATGGCACAGAATGGAATGATGTCAGTTGGCATGGAGCGCGTGCCTCGAGCCATTGAGGAATGGCACTTGGGGATCACGGGAGGGTATAGGGAGGGACGGGAAGGAGTGGAGGGGCGAGGGGAGGGAAGTGATGGGGCGATGGTCAACAAATGTTGGATTCAATTCACATTTTCGTCTCGACACTGTGTTCAACTATTACCACCACACTGTATTTAACCACCAACACCACCACACTGTGTTTAACTATCACCATCACACTGTGTTTAACCACCACCAGCACCACCACCACCACCACACTGTGTTTAACCACCACCAGCACCACCACCACCACACTGTGTTTAACCACCACCACCAGCACCACCACCACCACACTGTGTTTAACCACCACCACACCGCAGGTCACAACACTTGCCTCCTTCTTCACGCACCGCCTGACTTTGACATTCACTCCCATTCTCTTTTTAAATCCTTTATATTAAGTTCACTTGCGCGCTTGCTTGTGCGCTTACGACCGTGCAAATCTATCGGTCGTTTTTTAACCCACTTCCCGTGATCCAATCGAGCTGACATTTTCCACACAGATTCGTTGTGCGTGACAATTAATGTTCGTGAAAAATGTTTTCCAAAATTTTACACTTTTTAGGACAAAAATGATATATTTAATTACCAATTGCTTAATGGTGCCATGCAATCATCTGACCCATAGGTGGCAGCCATTTCAAGCCAGAGGACGAAAGGACTCTAGCCGCCACGCATATAAAGGATTTATAGTGAAAAACTTTGTTTTTACGGGTTATACTTGTTCCTCTCAATTCCTTAGAACATTTGCTCAATTCAAGAACAAGTACAGAACGCAAAACATCTTGAGCAGTGGCCGTTTGACGTTCACTCTTGTGCCTTTGGGCCCTTGCTCGGCAACGGTGATTATACAAAAAAATCAACAATTCCCCACAAAGTTAACGCTGTTCTTCTACTCGCCTCGACAGACTCATAACCGGTTGGCGCAAGCCCAGTGTAACTTTATTTTTCCATTACCCACAAGGCCACACGTTGATGCACAAGTTGGTGCCACGGTGGCACCAACTTGTGCATCAACGCATGGTATGCAGGAGATCGTGGGTTGCCTGCTGTATGTTTGGAGTTTGTGCGTTCTCCCCGCAGTCGCATTGATTTTTCTCCTGATCCTCCGGTTTCCCCCCTCCCTCCACATTAATCATAAACCCGCATTCATACATTTCCACGTGATAAGCCACTTCTTTGAGTGATCATTTGTGGCCAGGTCGTATCTGAAAAATATCCATATCGAGCTCAGTAGGCCTTAACTGGTAGTTTTAGTCCTGATACATGCAGTGATGAGAAGGAAACTGGCACTCGTTGGACACATGCAGGATGGACAACCGCAGGAAAATTAAAAGTCTCTTGTTCGGAAAAATGGAAGGAACTGGAAACAGAGGAAGACCTCACCGAGAATGGGTTGATGCCACCGTCAAAGATTGGTGCCAGAAAGTTGTGGAACTACTTGAGCAAACTGGCACAATGGCAAGAGAAAAGTGGAAACTAATGTCGAAATGTGGTGTGTGCACCCGTGGGCTATCTTGCCCCATGGATCGTGGGAAATTAGCACGGATGTCTACGTACGCGGCGAAAGAAATTCAACACACATGCGTACATACTCTTAGGTTGTTTTTTTTTCCGGTAAAGTCACGTAGGTAAAAAAAAGTAATAATAGAAATAAAGTAATAAAATAATAAAAAATAAAAAATCACGACGTTTCGGAGGCAACACAAGTCTCCGTCATCAGGTGGGACCGTCACAGCTAGATTTGCTGTATCAAGTGAGGCAGAGATTCCGAGATACAAGTTCTTAAATACAAGCTAAGGGGAGGAAGGGGGGGGGGGGGTTATCACTTATCACACATGCATACACACGACGACGACGATGACGATACGTTTTCTTGGTTCTTTCGGTAAAGTCACGTAGAAGGGAAATAATAAAATAATAAGAAGGGAAATAATAAAATAAAACATAATAAAATAATTCTCACGACGTTTCGGCTACAACGCTTCGGCTACAACGCAAGCTGCTTGCGTTGTAGCCGAAACGTCGTGAGAATTATTTTAATATGTTTTATTTTCATTATTTTATTATTTCCCTTCTCATTATTATTTTAATATTTCCCTTCTACCTGGCTTTACCGAAAGAACCAAGAAGATGAATCCCTGCAAGTCACGAAATCTTCAAATCGAGATGACGATAAGGTTTTAACGCTCAGTTCCGGTTTTTTTTCTGCTGCTGTTCCTACTTCTGCCTCCCCCCCCCCCCCAAAAAAAAAGATACTGCGATGACTCGACGGGCGTGCGTGGTGCCGCGTGTCGCCTCTCGTGCCACGGCCGTCCCTGCGCTCGGGGTCCCAGACCGAATCCGCCGCCCATCGACGTCAGCCGCCGGCCGCATAGGGAGGCTCCGTGCGACACGGGCTACGCCGCGATGCCGTCGGGGGCGTGCGAAGACATCGACGAATGCGACAACTTCGAGCAGTGCGAGAACGCGCTCTGCGACAACACCGAGGGCGGCTTCAACTGCGACTGCTTCAGCGGCTACGCGCGCGTCAACAACACCCACTGCTCGGACGTGGACGAGTGCGCAGAGGAGACTCCACCCTGCGGCGCGTTCAAGTGTCGCAATCGTGAAGGCTTCTTCGAGTGCCTCTGCCCGCCGGGCTATGAGCAGGACAAGAGCGGCATCTCATGCGACGACGTGAACGAGTGCGTCGCGCCGGATAACGGCGGCTGCCAGCACGACTGCAAGAACGTAAAGGGTGGCCGCAACTGCTCGTGCCGCGCCGGCTACGAGCTGGCGCGGGACGAGCGTTCGTGCGTCGAACGCAGGACGACGGAGGAGGATGAGGACGAAGCGGCGGCGGCGTCGCCCGGACGGAACCTGCTCGTGACAATCGTCGTACTCGTGCTCGTCGCGGTTGCGTGCGCGTCGGTCGCGGTGCTCGCGTGGCGTCGCTGTCAGAGGAAGAGGAGCGGGTCGTCGTCGGGGACGCGGCAGGGAGTGAGCGCGCTGGGCGGTGAGAGGTCCTCGCGCGAGCAACGGGTCAACGTCGCCGGCGAGGGTGACGCGTGGGTCGACTCACAGCCGTAGGGGGCGGGGGGGGGGTCTTGACGGTGGTTGCGGCAGGGAGGGGGTGCTTGTGTGTGTGTCTTTGTGTGTGTGTGTATGAGTGTGTTTGTATGAGTATGAGTGAGTGTGTGTATGAGTGTGTGTGTATGAGTATGTGTGTGTATGAGTGTGTGTGTGTATGAGTGTGTGTGTGTATGTGTGTGTGTGAAGGTGCTCGCTAACAGCACTTGCTCCTACAGTCTGTTAAGGCTATACGGGGGGATCTTTGTCTTTTTTGTATGTGTTTGTATGTATGTGTCCGGCCCTCATAGGTGCTCGCTAACATCACTTGCCCCTACAGTCTGTTAAGGCTATACGGCAGATCTTTGTCTTTTTTGTATGCGTGTCTATGAGTGTAGTGGTAAGCGCGCTGCGCTACGAACCTGGCAACCCGGGTTCGATTCCCGCTCACTGCCAACACCAGTGACGATTATCTGAACCGGTCCTGGGCCTCCCTTAGGTCGACTCAGCCTGAAATGAGTACCTGGTGCGATGTGTAAACATCGCCGCTCGGGAGACAAAGGCGGTCTGGCGTGGGTCTGGCCACCCACCCCCTCGTGTACCGTTCCGGCCTTCATAGGTGCTCGCTAACAGCACTTGCCCCGACAGTCTGCTAAGGCTATATGAGGGATCTTTGTTTGATCTTTGTTTGTGTGTATGTGTGTGTGTATGAGTGTGTGTGTGTATGATTGTGTGTGTGTATGTATGATTGTGTGTGTGTATGTATGATTGTGTGTGTGTATGTATGATTGTGTGTGTGTATGTATGATTGTGTGTGTATGTATGATTGTGTGTGTGTATGAGTGTATGTGTATATGTATGAGTATGTGTGTGAGAGGTCGTGACTTTGTGCGGATGTTCAAAGGGACTTTTGTTGCTGACGAGATGGTTTTACGCAGGAAAGCCTCGCCGAGTCTCAAGACTCAAGACAAATTTCAGGGCGGTGGGAGGGGGGGGGGTCCTGTCACGTGTTGCGCAGGAGGGGAAGACGATGGTGCTGCTACTGGTGCTGTTGCTGCTGCTGCTGGTGCTGCTGCTGGTGCTGTTGCTGCTGTTGCTTCTGTTGCTGCTGCTACTGGTGCTGCTGCTGGTGCTGCTGCTGGTGCTGTTGCTGCTGCTGGTGCTGCTGCTGGTGCTGTTGCTGCTGGTGCTGTTGCTGCTGTTGCTGGTGCTGCTGCTGCTGGTGCTGTTGCTGCTGGTGCTGTTGCTGCTGTTGCTGGTGCTGCTGTTGGTGCTGTTGGTGCTGCTGCTGCTGGTGCTGTTGCTGCTGCTGCTGCTGTTGCTGCTGCTACTGGTGCTGCTGCTGGTGCTTCTGCTGGTGGTGGTGCTGTTGCTGCTGCTACTGGTGCTGCTGCTGGTGCTGCTGCTGGTGCTGTTGCTGCTGCTGCTGGTGCTGCTGCTGGTGCTGTTGCTGCTGGTGCTGCTGCTGCTGGTGCTGTTGCTGTTGCTGCCGGTGCTGATGCTGTTGCTGCTGCTGCTGCTGGTGCTGCTGCTGGTGTTGCTGCTGTTGGTGCTGTTGCTGCTACTGCTGGTGCTGCTGCTGGTGCTGTTGTTGCTGCTGCTGGTGCTGCTGTTGGTGCTGTTGCTGCTGCTGTTGGTGCTGTTGCTGCTGCTGCTGTGTTGATCCCTATTGTGAATGATTTGCGGTGTGATTTTATTTTTTTAATCTTCAGCATCGAGAGATAAGTTGTTTGGCCAGTCGCGGTTCGCGTTGTATCGTTTTGTTATTGTTGTTGTTGTTAGCTATGGCAGGAAATCGGAGAACTCGGATGACAACTCGTGAAAGACATGAGGGGGGTGAGGGGTGGGGGGGGGGTAGAGAGGTAACATTCAGGAAGGCGCCCGAGTCAGGAACGGAACTCACATTTTTATATTCTTAGGTTTTTTCGGTAAAGTCACGTAGGTAAAAAATTTAAATTAATAAAAGTAAAAATGAAAATAAAATAAAAAAATAAAAATCACGACCTTTCGGAGGCAACACAAGCTTCCGTCTTCAGGTGTATCAAGTAACAGCAATCGTGCTGTGACGGTTCCACCTGAAGACGGAAGCTTGTGTTGCCTCCGAAACGTCGTGATTTTAATTTATTTTATTTTTACTTTTATTAATTTAAATTTTTTACCTACGTGACTTTACCGAAAAAAACCTAAGAATATGAATCCTTGCAGTCACGAAAGCTTCAAATCTAGAACGGAACTCACGTCCACCTTCTTGCTCCGAGGGGAGCCCTCTGCAAGCGCGTCCGTGGTTTACAGGACGTTGATTCTGCAACTGGTGGGGGGGGAGGGTTATCGCTCTCTCTCTCTCGACACCTTCCGCTGTCATGTCGTAGCGCGTGTTGGGAGATTATCCATATGAGCTGAACGGCACGCTGGTAAAGGAGCGATGCTTCCAATGCGAACATTCCACCCTACTTTTAAAATGTCCCGAGTATTTGGCTTGATCATTTTTTTTGTACTTCTAATTTAGCCTGCATATATATTTTTTTGACATTACGTAACATGGACATTATGCTATATATATATATAAAGTAACAATCACACAAAGTTGCATTTTGAGCAGAAAATACTCTCAACGGTAATGCTCCGAGCTGATGCAGCTGCACTCGGCAGAGCTGATCAAAGCCACGTGACCTCATCCCTGCCAATTACAGGGGAGTCAGTGCATCGTTTAAAATGAAAGACGGTCATAAAAAAAAACATTGCTCAGAGTCTGTAAACTCTAATATTACTTTTGGGAAGATATTTTCTCTTCTTTTTTCGATATTAAAACAATATTTCAACCGCGTAGCTAACATTTCTCGCGGCTCTTTCGTAAATCTGTTAAAGCCGATTTTCATAAACATTTTGGCCGGATCTGGAGCGAATAAAGTTATAAACCGAGATGGGTTTTTGTTCTTGTCTCGTTCAAAAGCAATGGCGCGTAACCCACATTTGCAGCGCACGTCACTTCACAAGGTTGTGTTGCGTCGACTAATATCGTTACGATTGCGACATTTGAAAGGGGTGGCTGTCCCTGTGATCATGGGGATGTATCTCTGGTTTATGACTCTGACCGTCCAGGAATCGGTAAAAAAATTACTTTTTGGTTCTTTCGTTAAAGTCACGTAGTTGAAAATACAAATAAAATAAATAATACAATAAAAATGAGAATAACTAAATTATGTTCACCTACGTGACGTTACCGAAAGAACCAAAGAGTATGGATTCTTGCAGTCACGAAAACTTCAAATCTAGAAGAATAAAATGGTCTTAGGTGACAGAAATTGATTTGCCTCACCTCCCACGGTGGCTACGTTGCGGTGCAAAATAAGTTCAACGTACATGCGTCCATACCGAGATCTGGTGGAATTGTGTTAAACTGAACCCACAGCACCGTGTACTGCACCATTTTGATAACAGACCCAGGTTCGATTTGAGAAATATATTCGGCGTTTGTCTAAAGTAGGGGTGGGGAACGTCCGGCCCGCGGGCCGTATGAGGCCCGCGAAATCATTGGTCTCTGGCCCTGCCAAGGTCATCGTAGGTGGGACTGGAAATTCAATAAATCTAGGAGCAAACCTGGAAAAGTAGTTGCGAGTAGCAACATCTTCTTGGTTCTTTCGGTAAAGTCACGTAGAAGGGAAGTAATACAATAATAAAAATAAAACATAAAATATAACATAATAAAATAATTCTCACGACGTTTCGGCCACAACGCAAGCAGCCATCCTCAGGTGAAGAAATCACCTGAGGACGGCTGCTTGCGTTATTACTTCCCTTCTACGTGACTTTACCGAAAGAACCAAGAAGATGAATCCCTGCAGTCACGAAAGCTTTAAATTGAAAAGCAGCAACATCATCAACACCAGCCAACATCACACGCCTCGCCAAAGAGAAGCAGTTCCAGCCATCGCATTTGGGGTGAGTTAATGAAATGTTTGACCAAATATAACGGGCTAATTTTTAAGTTGATAATTTTGTATGGCCCGCTAATGATGTTATACATATCCAAATGGCCCTTGGCATAAAAAAAGGTTCCCCGTCCCTGGTCTAAAGTATCAACGGCGGCAACCCAAGTTCAATCGCGATGCAGTACAACCACACGCGCTGAACTACGTTGGTCGCATCGTGTTATTTTGCAACCGTTCCGTAAACGCCCGTCGTCATCATCATCATCATCACGGGGGCAAGAAAGCCAGTCAGTGTCCACTGCACATTTCGTCGTCTGATAATTGGTTTTTTACCCTTCTATCTGGCAACAAAACTGACACCTTTTTTTACAAGGAGTCATGTTTGCATGGACCACAATACCTGCAGTCATAATGCAAACAAAAAACATAACTCTGATAATGTACGCCTTTTGGCGTCATCGGGTCCAACCCATGTGAGACTAGGCTCTAGGCAAAGCTGTCTCGGGTGTGGACCAATCAACTTCAAGGACAGTGCATACATTATCAGAGTTATGTTTTTTGTTTGCATTATGACTGCAGGTATTGTGGTCTATGCAAACATGACTCCTTGTAAAAAAAGGTGTCAGTTTTGTTGCCAGATAGAAGGGTAAAAAAACAATTATCATATTTTTTACTGGCAAATGAGGTTCCAATGGTGTAAATTTCATCGTCTGTTTGTCCTTTCCTCTTGGTCTTGCGCCAATGTGGCTCGAGCAGCAAGCCGCATCTGCCCGGCACCTATCTCCGATATCGCCTTCAAGCCATTCCCCGTTAGCCCTTCCTCTCCTAGATTTGAAGCTTTCGTGACTGCAAGGATTCATATTCTTGGGTTTTTTCGGTAAAGTCACGTAGGTAAAAATTTAAAATTTAAATTAATAAAAGTAAAATAAAAATAAAATAAAAATCACGACGTTTCGGAGGCAACACAAGCTTCCGTCTTCAGGTGGAACCGTCACAGCACGCTTGCTGTATAAAGTAAAAAAAATACTGCAATCGTGCTGTGACGATTCCACCTGAAGACGACAACTTGTGTTGCCTCCGAAACGTCGTGATTTTTATTTTATTTTTT